CCTTGTCTTGTTGCAGATATTAAAGAAAAGCTTTTCTCTATTCAGCACAAGCATTAGCTACAGACAGGTTCATCATATACAATCTTCACCATGCTGACCTATATTACTTTCATATATAACCTGTTCAGTTTTTCATAAAGATTGAATTCTATCCAATGTTTGTTATTCATCTATTGAAATGACCATGTAAGTTTTGTGCTTTAATGATGTTAATGTCTTAGGTGTATCATATTAGTTGATTTGTGTGTAATGAACCATCTTTACATTCCAGGGAAGAGTCCACTTGATCACAGTGAATGACCTTTTAAATGTACTATTAAATTCAGTTTGCTAATATTTTATTGAAGTTTTGCATCCATCTTCATCAGGGATGGTGGCCTATACAAGTGGTACTTTGGTTCATGAACTTAATTCATTCTACAATTTGGGGTAGGCAGAGGGCTATGTTAATGTTTGTGGGGGGAGGATAGCTGCCGTCATGTTCCTCAACAAATGCAGAGTTTGTGAAGAGAATCAAAATTCTGCCAAATGCTTCTGTTTGAGAACCAAACTTGTTCACAAACAGAAGCATTTGTGAAACAAGGAATTACTGCAGTCTACTTTTTGAGTGTATTCTTATCTGGTATTGGTATCAGCATAATACTAGTTTTCTAAAATGAATTAGAAGGGCTCTGTCCTTTTCAATTTTTTAAATAATTTCAAAAAATTTAATTGTTTGGTAGAATTCTGTTGTGAAGCCATCAGGCCACAGGGCTTTTCTTCGAAGGAAAAAATAAAAATTAATAAAATATTAATTTTTGTTCATATACACTCATTTTTATTAATCGACATTTTAACAAAAGTAACCATTTATAACTGAATCAATCTCCTTAATCATTTTTGGTCTGACAAGTTTTCTATTTCTCCATGATTCAATTTTGGTAGGTTTTTTTTTTTTTGGTACCGGGGATCTAACTCGAGTCCTCATGCTTGCGAGGCAGGTGCTGGAACCACTGAGCCAAATGCCCGGCCCCAATGTTGGTAGTTTGTATGTGTCCAGAAATGTATCCATTTCTCCTTCTGCTAATTTTTTCTTGATTTTCTAGTTCTTTGAGACACATGGTCACATATTCACTTTAGATTTTAAAACTTATTTGATGTAGACATTTATTGCTATGAACTTTCCTCTTAAAACAGCTTTTTCTATATCCCTTAAGTTTTGACATATTGTATTCCCATTTTCATTCAACTCAAGAAACTTTGAAATTTCTCTTTAAAATTCTTTAATATCCTACTGATTTTTTACGAACATACTGTTTAATTTCCATATACTTAAACTACTGCCAGATTTCCATGTTTTATTGATTTCCAGTTTCATTCCACTGTAGTCAGAAACAGTACTTGAACTATTTTGATGTTTTTCTTTTAATTTGTTAAGACTTGTGGCCAAATACATGATCTGTTCTGAACAATGTTCTATGGGCAGATGAGAAGAATATGTATTCTATAGTTGCTAGATGAAACATTATGTAAATTCTTGTTAAGTTCCTTTGGTCTAATGTATGGTTTAAATCCCATGTTTCTTTGTTTATTATTCATTTGAATGATGTCCACTGATTAAAATGGGATGGTATATTCTCCTGCTACTACATTGCTGCAAACTCTCTCACTTAATATCTGTTAACATTTTTTTATACATGTAACAAGCTAGTTAATTTCACCTATTAATTACCACTTCTATTTTTGTGTTACTTTTGTTTACTGCTCCATATCCTTAGGATGGTATGACATAATGTAATATGCACAACAAATTCCTGAAAGAATTAACTATTCCATTATGTGCAGGATGTTTTTCTTTAAAATGTATTTTGTCATTTTTAATTCATCACCATATGTTAATCGAGATTTCATGGCTTAATCAAGTCTAATTCAGTACCTTTGTTATTTTTTTCATAATTTTTACTAATATCTAACTTGCTAGGTTTCAAGCTCACTTAGAAGACACCATACATTTTTTAGTTACACCTCCTTATGCTGCATAAAATGATACTTTCTAAAAATGAGTCTTCAGGAAATGAGTGTTAGATAAATAAATATGAATTGAATTTGCACTTTCCTGTTAATATGTCATATTAATAACAGTGTAAGTTCTTTCTGGGTTACCTTTTGTTTTATTACACAAATTTTGTTTTCTCATTTATAAAAGCAAAAATGTTCTTATATTTTTACTTATCAAATGGAACAAAACTTTTGAATCTCTAAAAATCTGTCAATACTTATGACACAAAACATGCAGCTTTAGATACAAACTCAGAACGTGGTTTTACATTAAGCAACAAAAACAGGCTAGTAACTATGGAATGGGTTGGTAAGTAACACTAAAAATAAACTGGATTCAGAAAGTCTTAGATATGCTTTTCAAAATTAATATGAGGTGTTTGGTAAAAAGCACAGCTCTTACTGCTTGAACTAGCTAAAATAGATATTCTCTATTAGAGTGGTAAAAATAGAAAACTTGAAAGTATCTGTGTCCATCTTTATCAATTATAATGGCCATAGAATGCAGTTTCTTTTCATGTAAGAAAGTAACTTTTATACCCATACTAAAATAAAACTCTGAAATAACTGCTATTAGGAGACTCTAGCTGACAAGAGGAATACTGGCAAAAATATCACTGTCACTCAAAGGGTATCTTGAACTTAAACACATGAATTCTAAAACATTATTTTTTCACTATTTAAATTTCACATAAATCCCACAGGAACCAAAAAGAAAAGTTTTACATTAAACCTTATCATTACATTTTAGTTCTTACAAAGTACGTTTGTATTTTTTTCAAAATCATCAATTATAAAAATGCCTAATAGTTGCACAGCACTTCACATATTGCAAAGCATATATTCACTGATTTTACTCCCATTCTATAGGATATTATACTTACTCCTTCCTAAACCACAGAACATGTAAAGTTTAGGGTTGAGACCAAAATATAACTCTTCAGATGCCAATGTTCTTTGACTATTTTTTCCTGTTCTTTAAAATCTATTATTACTTTATGTTGTCTTCTCTTAGGATACCTGTCATCTCATTTATATACAGCTTCTATAATCTAAAACTGGATTACAAACTCCTTCATTAGAATATGATAGGCACTCATTAAATATCTACTAATAAATGCCTCCTTTCACTGACCCCTTCTACTTGATAGATATATGAGTCAAGAAATGGGATAATTTTAGCTCACAGACAATTAAACTGAAAAGGAAAACTGACAAGGAGTTAAAAACTTCTCTAAATCATCTGATTTGCAACAGTTGAAGAGCTCAATGTTATACAGTGAAAGCTCACTAGAAGAAAATCAGGCAGTAGGAAACCTGAGGCATTAACTCATATATAACTGCTTACATCTTTAATAGAGATATTTGCAAAATTTTACTGACAGAAGGAAGCCAAAATCTTCAACTGGGAATTTAAAACACTGTCTTATTTTAAAATGTCAATAAAAACAACTGATGATTTTCAGGTTGACTCTTTTCTTTCTGTCTCCAAGAATATTAATTTCTATTTCTGTAGTCACATTTTAAACTAGAAGTAGTAAGAAGGGAAATATATTAGACTTACTTAAAGTGTGGTATATTTTAAAAAACAGTAATATGTAGAACTTTAAAAATGAAGGAAATGGTCATATAAACTGTAGTTAATTAGTTTGCACTTTATAATCCTTCCTTCTGTAATGTCAACATGGTCAACTAGGTGGGTTATCTCTATCCATAACTTAAAGGCACATACAAGTTCGAGTTTATCAAGGAAATAAAGGCCAACCTAGCATTAGAAATAGGAGAAGTTGGTAAGTATTATTATCAGGCGAGGGTTTAAATACTATGCAGAGTTAACAGAAAGTGTCAAAATTATAACACTTTAACGGACTTTTTCTTTTTAACCCATTTGAATGACACTCAATTTCATTTAGCTATAATTACTAGATGTGAATACACTAAATACTACTGAATCATACACCTTTAAATTTTATGGTATATGAATTTCACCTCAAAAACATGTTTACATTATATACATATATTTATATTTGTTGCTAATTTATATTTAGTAATCATGGCTCCATCTTTCTCTAACACAATGAGAGTATCACTCTCATTTCTGAAGAAAAACTAAAATCCTGTGGACAATCACCTTGAAAATGTATGACAAGTGAAATGATGGAAATGTAAAATGACAAAGAAAGGCATCATTTCTTTCAAATGCAAAAAAAATCCCATTAAAAATATCTCAATGAGTAAAAGCAAAAGTTCTGAAAGTACGCGTCATCTGGCTAGTTCTATAAAGAAAACATAGCAAATAAAAAGAGTATTATTTCAATACTCAATTTTCAAAAAGCATTAAAATAAGCAATGTAAATATATTTTTTAAAATTTTCACCAAAGGGAAAAAATTCCCTAAAAGACTGATTCAACTGCTATGGTTCCACATATTAAGGAATTTCATTATAACTATTCAATAAAATATTCCTTAAAATGTCTCATGACACCATTTTCAAAGTATTTCAAGGGATATTCACAAGAGTACACATTTTATAACTTTAAATTTCCCTAGAAAAAGAAAAAACTTATATTTGTGTTTTAATTTTCTATTTAAAGTACCCTTACTGTTTAATTTTTTTTGTTGTTTTTTGGTACCAGGGATTGAACTGAGGACCTTGCATTTGTGAGGCAGGGAGCAGGACCACTGAGCTAAATCCCCAGCCCCTCATTCAATATATTTTAAATACTTATATATTTAAGTTATAAATTTAAAAAGCAATTTTAATATAAAATATTTAAAATGAATATTTCCTAATTGCGCTTAACATATTAGTCAATTTTGAAGCATTATATTCAAGAGACTCCCAAAACAATAAATGCTAAACTTTAAGTGTTGCAGGCATTTGTATCATTGATCATAACATTACAATTAACACACAATGAACTACATCAAAATATACATAAAAACTAAACTGGAAACGTACATCAACAAATTGTATGATAAAGTGTCTCCTTTGTCCATCAGAATATACAGAAAGGACATATTCACCAGGTTTCCCATGACTCTCTCGCACCAAGAAGTCTCCTTGTTGCTTTAACAGTTCTTGGGCTTCTATTCTGGGAATTGCACCATGGTACCAGTCATGGTCCGCCAGGGGCTTCTCACTCACGGCGATCACGTCAGAGAACTGAACAAACAGTTGTTAGAAAGCACGTTAGAAAAAATAATGGGTTTCCAGGTAAACTTCATAGCAATTATAAATAATTCTTACATAAGTTCCTCCCTGTCTTTGTCCACTTAAAAACAATATTTAAAAAACCTGAAATTTTCATAATTTTTAAAGAAAGTATCTTCTGGGATATCCACTACTACAAACTGGCAGAAATACATATCCTTCAATACTCTGTTTTTTCATCTATTTATCATATACAGGTACATACAATATTAGCATTCAGAGTTAGCATTACAGTTTTATTTACCAAAAAACAAAATTAATCTATATATTACAATGAATCAATCAGGGGAATTACAAAGAAAATGGAGTAGTATCAGGGAAATTTACCATAAAAATAACTATTTAAAGAGTTACTTCTTTTTCTGGAATAAACAATTCATCACAGAGGCTGTGAACTGTCCACCTTCTTACATTCCAGGAGCACTATCTCAGATTCATTTTCTGCCTTGTTGAATCTTTTCTCGCTCATCTGACTTTCTTTACCATTACCTCTGCTACATGGCTGGTCTCCTCTTGCACAGCAATGGTAGATAAAGACTTGGAGAAACAGACTACTGAAAACCACCAACATGCAATTACTAATACATGCAAAACCTGGGTATATTTATAAGGGAAGAACTCAGAAGTAAAAGCAGATGATCTGTTATTTTAGGAGGTCAAATGCTCACACCAAATGGCAGAGATAATTAAGAGCTAACTATATTTCCTAAAAAAATTTTCTGACAGTAGATGTAATCATATATTTTCTGATCACAAATGAAACGTTTTATTGTTGTATTTTATTTGTCCACAGAAGTAAACTAATACAGATGGTAAGAGTACTTAAAAATTAAGTTATAATAATGTGCACTGCCTCTGAAGGTTCTGAAGATACAATATGCATAATAAATACCTCACAAGAAAGTAATTTATAAATTAAAAAGTCAGGATTACTAACAAATACCATAGTTTAATCTGAAATGTCCCCCAGTGCCTAATGTGTTAGGTCTTAAGTGTGTGGCACTATTGGGAAGAGGTAAAACGTTACTAGGTGGGACATGGTAGAAAGAAGTTAGTTCATGGGGGTGTGTCCTTGGAGGGGTTACCAGGATCTGGGGCTCCTACAGGCCCTGTCTTTTTGCCTCTGGCTTAGACAAGGTGAGGTTTTGCTCTACCATGTACTTCCAACATGATGTACTATGCTACCCCAGGTCCAAAAGCAATGGAGCCAATGGACCATGGGCTGAAGTCTCTGAAACAATGAGATGAAACAAACTTCTTATAAGTTGTTCATCTCAGTTATTCTGTACAGTGACAGAAAGCTTACCAATACAATAAATAAAAAGTATTCAGATATGAGATGTTGTAGGCTGACAGTATGAATTCTACAGGACAAAAGTACAACTTTATATAGAACTCTATGTAAGACAAAATACATACTTATTTGGAGTAAATACAAATTAATTTTGAACATGGCCTTCATTGTGTTTGTGCCACTGAAGAGACCCAAATCTTATAGTTCCTTTGGTTGGTTAAAAAAAATGTGAAGTCCCACACAAACCTTAAGAAGAGTTTATGTACACTTTCATTTTTACTTCTTCCAGTTATGACATTTCCTCACTTTTAAAAATATATACATCAAAATGAGAATCAAGACCTGTCATGTAAAGATACAAGATCCCAATAATGAGTGTAACTGTACTGTATACCTAAAATGTACCAATAAACTCGATGAGGAAAAATAAATAAATAAAAATTAAAAAAAAATATATATATACATCACATAACTATACATGGAATATTTTATAAATTAGATAAGTCTTTTTCTTTTAGTACCAATTATGATGAAAAGAATAATTCAAATAAATTTGAGCAGATTTCCAAAATGGCCCTAAAGAACAAATTATATAGTGAAGCAGTCACAACTAAGATAAAATACTGCTTTTAAAAATAAATGCACAATCTTTTCAAAATTAACTCTTGTATACAAAAACTAATTGTTTACCCTTCTTAGTCAAAATAATCAAATATTTTTTAAAAATCTTTACTATAATAGAAATATTTTCAAGTCTTCCAGGGCAGGGATTTAGCTCAGTGGCACTGTGCCAGCCTTTCAAGTCTTCCAATAGCAAAGGTGCTTGAATATAAAAATTCATGGTAATATCTTTTGCAAAGATATTTTTATCACTGTGTCAAAAAGAACTATATAACAAGACAGCGTCATGAACAAAGATGTCATGTGCTTGATTTCTTATGAAAGCAACCCATCCTTCCAAATCTGCATTTATTTAGAACTGAAAGAATATAGAACCTAGAGAATTCACTAAGACTAAAAGATGTTTGAAAGTTAAAAAAAAAACTTCAAGAGGCTGGGAATGTAGCTCAGCTCAGTGTCACTGTGCCTGCCTGACAAGCTCAAGGTCCTGGGTTCAATTCCTCATACCAGAAAAAAAAAAAAAAAAAAAAAAAAAAAAAAAAAAAAAAAAACAAAAAAAAAAAAAAAAAAAAAAAAAAACAACAAAAAAAACTTCAGCAAGCACTCAAGAAATGTATTTAAATATTTTAAGATAATAAATGCATTTAGGGAAATAAAATCCAGGTTTTGTGTTTTTTTTTTTAATTTTTGCTTTTAAAAAAGCAAGTAGGAAGGAACCTATATTGCTATGTCACTGAGATTAACTCCAGGTCTATAGGTTTATTACATTTTGTAGGGGAAGGGCTAACGATAGGATGCTCAGATACTTGTTTTTCCCTATCCCCTTAGATAATACTATTATAAAATTTAGTTTGAACATGTTGTGAATAATGTCTGTACACATCTTTTGTAACACACATATATGTGGAACAGTAACACATATCTCCAAACTGGGTCTCCTGCATCTTTGAAAGTCTTCTTTGGAAGCACTGGAAGGAATATTTTTAATATGATTTAATTTAAATTCTAATAAAAATTTTCATGATTAATAGCAAAAGAATGTAGAATGTATCGACAACAAAATCCAATATTAAAAGCTTATAATATTATCAAAAATAAAAATATTTTTACCTAAAAAATTCCATTTTTCTGAGCCTCCCTGAGGAAAGATAATTAGAGTAAGTTTGCAAAATATGATTAAAAACTACAATCACCTCGGGGACTTGGTACATATACAACTTCATATCTTGATCATCTTTACTCCCCTGCCCCACTGCTCCTTCTTCCTCCTTTCTCCCCTTCCCATCTCCAGTTTACCAGTTTTCTACTATCTCCCTTTTAATTTTCTCTTGAAGTTATTTATATTTTGAATTTTACATACTAAAGAAAGTATGTGATATTTAGCCTTCTGTGTCTGTTTTATTTCACTTAGTATTATGGTCTCAAGATTCATTATTTTCCGACAAATGACTCAAATTAACTTTATTTATGGCTGAGTATTAGTCCCTTGTGTATGTACACCACACTTTCTTTATTCATCTGTCGACAGGCGTATCTGCTGCTTCCGTAATTTAGTTGTTGTGAAGTGCGATGCTATGAACGTGAGTATGGATGTATCACTATAATGTGATGACGTTCCTCTCTGGGGAAGATACCTAGAAGGGATAGAGCTCAGTCAAATGGAATGTCTATTTTTTTTTAAAGGAATTGCCACACTAATTTACATTCTAGTTGTATTATTATACATTTCCACCAACAATGTAGAAAGGTTCATTTTTCCAATGGGTTTTTCCCGGGAGGTAAGTTATTTAAGATTTTTGCCAGCCATATAGGGGACTGGGAAGTCTTCATTTTTAAAGCTACAGTTAATCTAAAATAGTTAATAAAATAAATGTCCCTAATTGATTGGGCTAATAATTTCTTTGACCGGGTCTTACTCCTAAAAAGTATTCTATTAAAAACATACAGGGTTTAATGAAGTAAAGAAACTGATTTACATGAAGAGGCAAGAAGGAAGTACTAAAAAATGAAAATATTTTTTCCATAGGAAAAAAGGTCATTTTCTTTCCTTATAATTTTGAAATATGTGAATGAAGATTTATATGCCTTTATCAAAAACACATGAGTAGCAAGATGAATTTCTTTTGGAGAGGTAAAAACAAAAGTTTTAGGGGAAAAAAAAAACCCAAGGTCTATACACTATTAAAATTTAATGCATCCAAATGACAATATAATAACACAAAAAATTAGAATAAAAAAAGCAGGGCAAGTATGTAGGTAAATCCCTTACTGAGATTGAGCAACCAAACAAAATTTAAACACATTTTTAAATTTTTATTAATTTTAGTAACTATACAAGTGGCATTTGTCTTTTCTTGCATCAATTTCATTATTAATAATAAAAGTAATATACTATTCCAAGTCTAGTTCGATAAACATGAGGTTAACTACAATTCATAGGATTCTAAGTACTTCTAAAAAGATTTCATAAGAGCTATTTTAATTTTAAAGCTATATATCAATTGGGAATTTTAGGAGAAAATGAGTCTGCATGTCACACAAAAAGTAAGAGTCAGCAAATGTTCACAAAAAGTGGAAAATACCTGGTCAACTGAATAGCAATGTGCTTGATGGTAGTAAAAACTATTTTTAGTGAAAGGAAGATGTAATGCCAGGTATAAAAGTGTATTATATATCATTTAGAGTTTCATACTTGAACACAAAATAATTCATATATAAAATGAAAACATAAAAATAGTTTTTCTTGCCAGTTTTTTCCAAATCTCTAAATTTAAGTTTAAATTTATTGAATGAGTTAACTGTTAAAAAATAAAAAATTATTTTGGATATTTGGTCTCCAGGATCATTTGCATCCAGGCTAGACAAAGAGGATGTAAATTAATTAGGACAGTGTTTCTATTTTGATTAGCAAAGGATTATCTGTAGTTCTGTATTTTTTGAAATAAAGTAGAATTAGTAATTTCTTAATGTGCTGATATCATTAACCAAAACAAAGACACTGTATCTAATGTCAACTTTCTACAATAAAACTAGCAACAAAGTTCTTACTCATAAATTTAACCATTTTTTGTACTACTTAAGAAGTTGATCGAGAGATGCAGATGAAAACAATACAGAGATTCCACCTTACCCCAGAAAAAACAGCCGCTATCAAGAAATCAACCAATAACAAATGGTGGTGGAGTTGTGGGGAGAAAGGAACCCTTCTCCATTGTTGGTGGGAGTGCAGACTGGTGCAACCACTGTGGAAATCAATGTGGAGAACTAGGATTAGAAGTCCTATTTGACCCAGCTATTCCTCTGCTGGGTGTCTTTCCGAAAGAATTAAAAGAATCGTATCACAGTGATATATGTGCACCCATGTTTATAGCAGCACAGTTTGTAATAGCTAAAACTTGAAAACAGACCAGTTGGTCATCAGTTGGAGACTGGATAAAGAAGATGTGTTTTTCTTCTATAAAATGGAATACCACTCAGCCATAAAGAATGAGAAACTAGAGACGTTTATAAGCTAAATGGATGGACATTGAGGTGATACTCTTAAGTGAAATAAATAGGACACATTTGAGCAAATATCGAATAGTTTCTTTGGTACGAAAAACAAAGTGTAAATAATATTTAAATGGTATAACTGAGAGTGTGAAACAGGAAGAAAATGGCTAAAGGGTAAGTGGGAAGGGGAGGGGAAAGGAAAGGGAAAAGAAAAAATGTGAAAAAAGGAAAAAATGGAAACAAAGTCTTTATAAATAGGGAAATCTTAGAAGTCTTTTAATCATATTATATTGAATGAATTTCTAAATTCTACTATAATTCCAAAATTAATATGTCGATAGAAAAAAAAATAAATTTAAGGAGATAGTTCAGTAATAGGGTATTTGGAGAGATGCTGAAAGAACAAATAACAAATCATTTGGATACTCTTTTGGGTAATAAAGAGCATTTTTCAAAAAGTGCTTCTATTAGAAGAGTATTAGATATTCCATATTCTAGTGATACAACCAATATTCACAAGTAGCTATAAAATAGATATAGGGGCTTGCTCAGACACTCATGATATAAATTCTGCAGTACAGAGATTGCCCTGAAGAAAGAGCAGCATTCTTGAGATCACTAGAATAGATTTCATTAAATATAATATGATTCAAGGACTTCCAACTGAAAAGGCTCACCATAATTGTAGGCTTTCAAAGCATACAATTAATACTGTCCAACACCTCTAGCCTTGCCTACAAAAGCCATTTCTAACAAAGAGTTCTCATTGTAAAATTATAACCTTCTCAAGACGGGAAGATACTAGATGTGGAGTTTATCTCAGTGTTCAGAGATGCTAATGATAAGTTGTTTAGCTCTGTTAGTATGAATTTTTATAAAAAGAGGCACCTGCTTAAAACTGGTAAAAACCTAATAAATACTACCCTAATAATGAGTAAATATTAAACATCTGATATATCTAACACAATATACAGTTAAAGCCAGATTCATTTATCAGGATATTTTCCTATGTTCTTCTTTCTATCCACATTTAAGTGTCCCACCAGATACTCCACATTTTAAGCACACTGTTAAAAACAGATATAGCAAATAAGAATACATACTATTGTGATTAATTCTAATTTTATTTTGCTATTTATAATGTATTTTTATCTAAGATTGTTATAAATTTCCAATTTTTATATGTTCATTTGAATAAACAGTGGTTTATTGTTGCTTTTTAATATTTTAAGTAAATATTCTTCATATGCAAAAGAATGAATATGGACCTCTACCTCACTCCAAATACAAAAATAATTCATGTTGTTTCAAAAATGTAACTATAAGAACCAAAATTATGAAACTCTCAGGAGGGAAAAAGTGAACTGAATAACCTTGGATTGTACAACAGATTTTTCATATATGATGCCAAAAGCACACATAATCTAATTTTAAAAATTATTCTTCGTCAAAATTTAAAACTTTTGCTATGCCAAGGATACTATTAAAACAGTAAAAAGGACTATGTGTAGAATAATAACAGGCACTGGGAAGTTACATATAATAATGAGCTTATTTCTAGAATTCATTGAAAGAAAACTCCTTGGTTAATTCTGGATATACCCCTCCAAAGCTTCATGTACTCACAGGTTGGGGTTTAGGGAGGTTCATGAATCACTGGGGTGTGATACTTGCCAGTGGATTAGTCTACGGGGGTTTATAGCTAAATGTGATGTTGGGAGGGGATGAGGCACTGGGGGGATCACCTGGAAGGGTATTACCACCTACTCTCCTCCCTTGGTCCCACTCTGCTTCCTGCGGCCACAACATGAGTTCTTTCTCCTTTGCCGCATTCCTCTGTCATGCCTTGGAGCCAGCCAACTATGAACTGAAACCTCTACAAATTGTGAACCAAAATAAACCTTTCCTTTTTACAGCTGTGGGTACTGAATATTGTGTCTCAGCAAGGAGAAAGTAACTAAGACACTGCTATAACTTAACAATTGATAAAATAATTCAAGGCTGGACATACAGCTCAGTGGTACAGTACTTGCCAAGCATGTACAAGGCCCTGGGGTTTAATCTCAGCACAATAAAAAAAATACAAAAAATTTAAAACGTAAAGAATATGAACAGACAAATCCACAAAGAAAATATGTAAGTGGCTAATAAACGTGGAAAGTACACTCAACATCACTAATCATCAGAAACATTCAAATAAAACAATGCATCACTTCATATCCACTAGATTGTCCACAATTTTTTAAAAATTGAAAATAAAGCATTGGTTGTAGAGAAGTTGGGGTATTCACACATTGCTAGTGGGGATATAAAATGGCAGACACAGTAGGAAACAGTTTGACAGTTCCTCAAAAACTTAAATATAGTATTACAAATGACCCTGTAATTCCACTGCTAAGTATATTACCCAAAGAACTGGAAACATTTATTTAAATGTTCGTATATGAATGTTTATAGTAGCATTATTTGTAATAGCCAAAAACTGGAAATAAAACAAATTTCTATCAACTGATAAATGGATTTATGTGATAAATACGTATGACAAGAGTATTACTTAGTTATAAAAAGGAATAAAGCAATACTGTACAAAATGGATGAACCTAGAAAACAGGATGATAAATACAAGAAACTACACAGAAAGGCCACATGTTTTATGATTCTCTGAGTGAAATGTATAGAATATGTAAAGCCATAAGGAGTGAAAGTAGATAACCATTGTCAGAGATGGAATGAGGGGGTGTGGGGATTGAGATTAACTTGTTTTTTTGGTACCGGGAATCAAACTTGGTACTTTACGCTTGCAAGACAGGCAGCAGAACCACTGAGCTAAATCCTCAGCCCAAGGTGAACTTTTAATAGGTATGACATATCTTAATGAAAAGACTGAGACTTTTTGGCATTAGATAGTATTGATAGTATTCAGGGTCACAAAAGATATACAAAAAAACCACTAAATAAGGGCTGGGGATTTAGCTCAGTAGCTCCACGCCTGCCTTGCAAGCACAAGCCCCTGAGTTTGATCCCTGGTATCCAGAGGAAAATAAAAAAAAACAAAACACCACTAGGTATACATTTTAAAAGAGGAATTTTATGATATGTGAAGTATATTACAATAAAATAATTTTGGTGTTTTAGTATCAGGGATTGAACCCGGGACCTTGTGCTTGTGAAGCAGGCAGTGGAACCACTGAGCTAAATTCCCGGCCCCACAATAAAATAATTTTAAAATGTGAATTTTATGTTATATAAAGTATATCACAATAAAATAACTTAATTATGCTAATTTGGCAAGTTTTAAAGGATTTTTTAGTAAGAAAAAAGGATTTAAGATATTAAAATTTTTTATTTTACCTTTACCAAATTAGCCACCCTGAAAATATTAAATCAGAAAAGCAGTCTTTAAATTATTATGCAATATGGATTATCATGCTTGAATGCTCACACCCAAATTAAACTCAAGAACTCAAGTGCCCATGTATTTAAGAGAAAAACCTCCTTTTCCAAAAACACAGGATATCCAATGCCTTAAAGAATTACCCCATGCTCTTATTCATAGCACATTCTCTTTGGCCAAATTTCAATGATTAAGCTATGAAACAAACTTTAATTTTATAATCAAAATGTTCTTTAAAATATAAACACATAAAATACTGACATACTTTAAAACATATATGCAGAAATGTCTGTTACAAAAATGTTACATTTCACTGGAAAAGAAACTTGTTTATACTATTCTTCTAATAAGGCTCCACAGTTCCAATAAGTACTCATGTATAAGAGGTCTATAACACAGTAGTTACCCTTATCCACGGTTTCATTTTCTGCAGTTTCATTATATTATCTCACATCATCATAAGAAAGTTAGTATAGTATCTGAGAAACAGACCATCATTCACAGCATTTAATACAATATGTTATTATAATCACTTTATTTTATTATAGTTTCTTACCGTGATTAATTTATACATTAATTTCATGACAGTCAAGTATGTACAATAATGAATATAGTATATATAGAGTTTGATACTACCCACAAAATCAGGTAAGGATCTAAAATTCATGCCTTGACGATAAGAAGGACCTATAGCACTACATTATTTCTGTCCTCTTTACATCACTGTTACATACAGTTTTACTATATACATGTATGAACAGATGCATATACATACCAAAAGTTAAACAATTTTTCTATTTGTTGAACTATATATTTATATTTCAGACAGATATCTATCTCAGACAGAAATTAGACAATGACCATTTCAGCAGCACACAGAATTAATCCTACTTACTGATGGAGAGCCCAGTGCAGATTTTGGAGACCTAATTATTCCAGCAATTGAATGACGAATAGACTCAAATTTGGATAGTCTCTCCTTTCTTTCCTGCAGGAATTAAGAAACAAGCCTTCAGTAATGGTATTTAGATATTTATTCCATCATGTTTTCTTTTTTGGTTTTTTTGAGACAGGGTCTCACTATGTGGTTGAGACTGACCTGGAGCTCACTATGTAGCCCAGGCTGGTCTCGAACTCATAGCGATCCTCCTGCCTCAGCCTCCCAAGTGCTGGGATTACAGGCATGCGCCACCACACCCGGCAATCCCATCATGTTTTCAACCGAGTCAAATATAAACTTCCTGACTTCAAGGACAACATATAACCAAATATATATTAACTGTAGCATTTTACTTTCCTGAGACCTGAGAAAATGTCTGAAATTTGGGAAAAATAAGAAAAAAATACATAAAGGCAGGGGTATGGGGAAAAAATGAGAACCGAGATCTGTCATGTAAAGGTACAAGATCCCAATGATGAATGTAACTGCACTGTATACCTAAAAAGTCCCAATAAACTCAGTGAGAAAATAAAATAAAAGACTCACATAAAGTAGTAAATATGAAAATACTTTGTTCCTTGAGGCCAAGACTGATATCACCAGAGATGGATGATACTGGAGGTATGTACCTGTGCTGTGACATTTAGAGAATGGCACTCTACCTCCGTGGGCTTCCTCTCAAAATCAACAACCTCAGTCAAATCACAAGGAAAGCAGCTGGAATTGAAGGACTTTTCAGATGATAAAGTACTCCTCAAAACTGTCAAGGTCATAAAAAACAAGCAAGGACTGAGAAAATCTTTGGGACCACAAGAATCCGAGGAGACATGATGAGTTGATGTACTATGCTGTCTTGATGGCCACCAAGAGGATGTCAGTGTAAAAATGTGGAAAATTCAAATAAAGCCCACAATGTGGTTTGTATAATAAAAAAAAAAACTACATAAAGATGAGAGAAAACAATGAATTCAAGGGAAATTACAGAAAAACCAACTATTTAAACAACATACAAAAAAAAAGAGGCATAGCTATAAAGAACTAGCACATTTCAGATAATACATAGTTATTAGAAATTTTCAAATAAGAAAAATAGAAGGCCAGGGATTTAGCTCAGTGGTTCCACTGCCTGCTTCCCAAGCACAAGGTCCTAATTTTGACCCTCAGAACCAAAGAAGAGAATATTTATGTAGGATGCACCTTTTACAAGTGAACTGCACTTAGGTACCTAATAAGTTTCCCAAAGATTCACATGATGATGATGATGATGATGACAATATAATTATCATGATGATATTAATGGGGGAGAAGGGACAATAAGAAGGAAATAATGGCAGCTGCCACTAAGAAAAGTCAATCCATAAACCAGGCCTGGTGGCACATGCCTGTAATCCCAGCACTCAGGAGGCTGAGGCAGGAGGATCGCTGTGAGTTCGAGACCAGCCTGGGCTACTAATGATTTCCAGGTTAGTCTCAACTACATAGTCAGACCCTGTATCAAAAAAAAAAAAAAAGAAAAAAGAAAAAAAGAAAAGAAAAGTCAATCCAGATTGCTATTTACTTTAGAACATGTATTTCTGAAAATCATATATCACAGCTGAAAAAATAAAAGCTTTTCCTTAAAATTTCAAATCTTCAGATCATTTCAAAATCCTAACTGAATGGAGTATGTTAGAGGGCAGAAAATAAAAGAAGAACAAAAATGAGAAATAGGTTGTGAGAAGAACAATGGGAAACTATGTGTGAGAGTTTCTAATAGAAGCACTGGTCAACATTTTCAAATAATGACTACACTTCAGCTGTAAATCAGTAGCTGACAGAACAAGAGATTCTACTGTCAAGTGCAATATTTCCATACTTCCTCCACCGGTAGTGATGCTGAATTTTACTTATAAGAAAAAAGCAGACCACAAATAACATCTTTCATTTCCTTTGTCACCAATTTTTAGGGTATGTCTCATACAACCTTGATTACATGATACAGTACCTTCTAAACACCACAGTTTCTGAAATTCAACTTTTTCCTCTTACTTGCCTATTCCTACTTTATTAGTTTTCCCTCTAACATTTGCAATACTAATAGTTTTGATTATTCTATGAATATAGGCGTATTAGTCATTTAAAACAATCTTAGGACAATCTTCTAAGAGAACAGATGATTCCAATTTCTTTGTCATCATCACATTACTAACTTGCTCATAAAGCTGAGTAAATCACTATATATACATCAATTTTATCATGTAAAAATGAAAAAAATATGAACCTTCCTCAATAGAGCGCTACAAAAATTACTACAAATGATTAAAAATTAACACTTTAAAAGCAGGTACATATTTAACAACTGGATTAAGAAAATAAACCTTCACTGTAGTATAAATAATCACCCCATCAGGAATGTGAGCCTGACATTCCTTAGTCCAATTTGTAACCTCCTAACATTTGCAACCATAAATGAGCCAGAAGGGGAGACAACCTTGTAGTACATATGGAACACACAGGGACCATTTTCAGAGACCATCTTCCTCAGTGTGGGCTTTTATTTGTTTTGTATGTTTGTTTTTGTTTGCTTTTTAAAAAAATCTATTTTTGGTGCTTCAGAAGTCTTTTGAAATAAAACAAAACAAAAAAAACCTGATAAAAAATAAAAAATAAAGCCAAGTTGTAAAAAAATAAACAGTGAGCAGTATGGCACATTAATTTCTGTAATTAATTTCTAAAAAATGTATTACACATATTGAAAAGCATATGTGCCTTTTTTCTTAAAGAAAAAATTTCTTCCCCTACAGTGTGTGGTTGCAGAAATAGCCTCTTACTCTCTGTGACAAGGGCTCACAGAAAGATGACGTGAGTGCTAATCTTACCCATCTGGCAATGAAAGCTTCACAAGGCACGGGCACCTCTTCTGTGAATTTAGGCTCTTTCTCTGAGTCAATACTCTCGAAAGACTAGTGGGAATATGGTGCCAGTATGAGAGTACTTGAAAAACAGAACTCAAAAAACTACCTGAGAGGCTATATAAAAAAATAGAAAATTAAAGCAACAGTTTTAAGTATTAAAAAATATTTTATTTGAATATAAGAACTGGGGATGTAGCTCAGTGGTAAAGCACTTTGCCCAGAATGCCATGAGGGTCTGGGTTAATGCACACGCGCGCGCAAACACACACATGCGCGCACACACACACCCTTTATTTGTATGTGAAATAATTATACATGGTGAGATGATAAAAAGAACTCTCTTCAAATTTTACCTGGGATCAAATTCTAGAAATAGAAAGAGAATTCTTTTCTCCCAAATGTTTTATCATTTCCTTAAGGGAGTAATGCTAGAATAACCTAAAGGATTAGAAAAATTTAATGGGTAAACCCATGTATGGGATAAAAAATATTTCAAAAAAATTTCTCCCCTGATATTATCTTCATAATATGTTGTGTTTAAAAGAGCATAGATAGAGAAAATACCCTTTCTTTTAAAGGTACTTTTAAATGAGACAGACTGATCTTTAAAATATTATCCAAAATAATCATAAGTTTTGAGTATCACACAGGGATAATCAAAATTCAAATATAGTTTATAAAACTTTGTAATCAACGTCAGCTCACTTAAGGCCTAGATTTCTGCAAATAAAACATGAAAGTATTTGCCAAAGCTCCTGTCCATAAAATACTGAATATCAAATTTAGATTCCAGTCTACCTATTAACATATCAGACTATGCTGAATGCACTGACAGGTTGATTTTTACATGGAAGAATTACAGATGGATACTTTAAAAATGAAAATTAAATGCTTCCCTTTATTTATGATGGTTCAGTGCTTTATTGTGCCTGTTGGTCCACAAGTGATGATACACTCATTTTTACCCACCTCCAATAAAGACGAAATAAGAGGTTTCTCTAGCTAAAGGGAGAAACACCCAGACCAGCTCTGGCAAAAAGACGGCTCCTCACAGTGCACACAGTTGGCACCAGTGAAGGAAGGCAGGGAGAAAGAGTCACAGAGAAATACCTGATGTTATTACATAACAGTCTCATGCCAAAAAATGTCATAATAACAGCTAAGAACCTCTCTCTCATTTAAGAATAGGATTTCATTTTTTAAATTAAATAAGCAAATGAAATATAATTTCTCTCTGATATTACATATATAATATCAGTCTCTCTGATATTATGGTACTGATATATAACACAATATCAGAGTCATACTGTTTCATAATAACTACATATTTACATATTATCAATTTTTTAATTATAAAAATAATATTAAATTACTTAAAGCAAAATCATATCTATCAGGTTTTTGAAAATAACTTTTCACTAGAACTTACAAATGACAATATACTAGGTTACCTCCACCCCAGCCCACTAAAGCACAGGCAAAGAAATAAAAGGAAAAAAAAAGATTTTGCTGATTGAAGGGTCTTTAACAAAGAGCTCTAACCATATAACTAGCTATACTAATAGGTGAAAGCAAGTTTAATCAAAAAAACAATTCTCAAAGCAAGGCTCTTAAAGGAAGCCCTAAGGTAGAAACTGTGATAGCCAACCCAATTCCACTTTGAGACTCAACTCCCATTTGTACCTGTGCATGGACAAAGCACCCAAGCAGTTGCAGGATGTTTTGTAGCTCACTTAGTGTGTGAAACTTCTTTGTGCTCCCCACCACACTAACCCGGCATGGCTCTGCCTCTTTAAGATTCCACTTGCTCTCTCAAGCACCCTGCCCATTTGAAAGTATGATTTAAAAGGAGAAATCAAACCGCTTCCCATTGCCCAGAGAACTTTCTGGGCAGGAGCCCCCCTTGGCCGTCAGCTCTAATAATCAGGCTCAAATCTGGCACAGAATGTGGCGCATCTCCATTGTTCTAACTCACTTGTCAATAATAAGATAACGTTCTTTATATCAGAAGGAACAGAGTTTTAATCCGAGCAGATTACCTAACTCAATTTCCACATCAGTAAACAGAAAGGATGGTTTCATTTCAATTCTTCATTTCAAAAATTCTATGACTATTATCCAATTCTCATAAATTACATGGCACCAATTATCGAT